CCCCAAAACCCCAAAACCCCAAAACCCCAAAACCCCTTACGGTCAGAAATAATAGAATCTTTCGCCTAAAACTCCCTTTCCTACGGGTTAAGGTCAGGATCAGCATACTGATTGGTCTTGAGCAACAAGGTATCATCTCCTTCCTCCTCTTCTGCCTTCCTTGATCCCTGAATCCTGTACATCTTGACTAAGTAATCCTTTGAAGCAGTGATGATCTCTTCTTTAGAGTAGATTAAAGCACTGATCATGTCAGTGTGCTTGGTCTCTACTGCCATGATTCAGTTGTCCTCTTTCTCAGTGTCCCAAGCGTCGTTTACTACGTTGAGTTTTTGGGAAGGCCAGACTACGGGGACTTTCCAGATACGGATTTGGAGGTCGGAGCCAGCGCTGATTATGTAGTGGGCGTCTATAAGCATCATATTAATTATTTGAAAAATTATCTTTCCTCTTTTCTTTGATTTGAAGTAAAGATTAGTAAGAGTAGAGAACTAATCCATCTAACAAAACTAAGCATTATTTACCTTTAACAATAGGCTTTTTCTTCTTGTTGTCACGAACCAGGAAGGCTTTGACCTTCTTGGTAATCTTGGCTAGACTTCTGATTCTATCCTCATGGCCTTCATAGATAACACCAGCTTCGTGAGAACCCTTAATATCCATGACTTTAATGTACTTCCCGGTTGCAATAGCAATTTTGTCATCACTCAATTCGCAGATTGAGGTTGGTGAATGATCAAATTTGAAGCTCTTAAGGAATTGGTGGTTGAACTCATACCTCTTTTTGCATGAGCAAAGCCCATATTTCCGCCTGATATGCATCTCAATTACGTAAAGATTTACTTTTCGAGTTGTTGTTACACAAGAGAGGATGAACGTAGAGAACCACTTCTTTGTTTTCCCGTAGTTCGAGTTCCTCAATTCGATGATTTTATTATCCCCAAAGTAGAGATCTTGTCTATCATCCTTACTTTTTGGTCTCTGAGTAATTTCAAGTTGCGCTAGTTTCTTGGGATCTGTCATTACTGATGAATCGATTAAGAGATCAATGTCAAAAAGTTTGATAGTAAACTGAGCATCTTGGGCAACCACAAATTTCCCTTTATATTGCTTTAGAGAAGTTATACCTAGGATAGTATCATCCATGAATTCTTCGACCATTCTCTTTTGAGAAGAAGCTACGTTAACAAAGAATAGAGAGCCACTGCTTCAACCTCCTACAATCCAATCATTCGAAGAGCCAGCAGTAGTTAAGCAATGGACTGATTCCGAACCTCCATTTGATGTTGTAGCACTAATAGACTTTTGCTTGTTAACCTTTTTGTTCCATAGAACGATCATTCCTTTCTCATCACAAGTAGCAAATTGATTACTGCCTAGCCTAATGATATCTTGGATCCATGATGAATGTCCTTTGTATGTTCTTCCTTCAATGACTTCAAACTCTTCCTCAATGTCAACCTGAATATCATCTTCATTACCACCTTTGGCATATTTTTCGTTTTCAATCCGGAGAGCTCCTTTGCCTTTTTTGACATTCCCAGTGCCACTGCCCATGTAGGCAGCTCCTTTTCCTTTACCTTTCTTAAGGCCTCCAGATCTTTCAGCGAAGTTAACGTCATCATAATCCATGGGGAATCGGAAAGTTAGGAAGAGATCTTCAATATAATCTCTAAACTCAGCAAGTTCATCACGGATGTCGGTATCAATTTCACCTTCTAATTCATCTGTTTTCTCGTTGATCTCTCCTATAGTTCCGAAGGAGTTGTCTATCTCAGCAAGGTTTTGTTCTCAGAGTGCCATTTTGTCGAGAACGTCATCAGGTACATCGTCCATTTCGGCAAGCTCATCCGCAATTTCTTTCATTTCTAGAGCTTTATCATCAATTTTTTGGAAGGGTTCAAATGTATCCTGAATCATTTGGTACCTTTTTGCCACTGCTCTTTTGAAGTCATCGACCATTGCATGCATTCCATTGATGTACTCAGTGGTTATGAAATTGATCTTCCCAGCAGTGGTAGTACTGTACCTTCCAAGTCTTTCGTCAAGTTGAAGCAGTTGCTTGTTGATGTGATTTGCGTAACTGCGCCCAAGTTCCTGTGTGGTAATCTTGGTATGTTCGAACCCGCTGTGCTCTGGTTGACAACGTTCGCAGATCAGCTGTTTTCTACATTCTCACATATGTGTAGCCGGTTCACGGTGAATTTTTCAAATAGGCATTTGACTCCAAAAATCTTAAACTTTAATTTATAATAACCATTGGGGTTTTGGGGTTTTGGGGTTTTGGGGTTTTGGGGTTTTGGGG